TTTATGTAAGTAGCCCTCTCTTCTTTGTAATAATTTTGCCAAGATGCTGCAGTATAAACTTGACTATTTGTTCTATATAAACTCAAGAAATTAAGATTTTCTCCTTAAGTAATTTACGTATCTGCAATATCCTATTAGCTTTCCCATTATAACAATTTGGAATTAAATCATTTTTAGAGGTTAAAATATCTGTGAGCAAAGCTATCTCTAATCCACTGCTTTCAAAGAGAGTTAATATCAAGAAGAAGCAGTCTTTACCTACGTGAGTTTCATAGCTTAAATTTACCTACGTGAGTTTCATAGCTTAAATTTAGGAATGAACTACCAAATATTTCTTAGTGTCTTAAATACAAACAGTGTAAATCAGTTAAGATAATTACAACCAAAAATTGTTACTATTACTATAGTAGCTTCATTTATAAAATATTACTTCTTCTGTAATTAAATGAAGCATTCAGCACTTTGTATAAGCAATTAAAATATTAAGTAGCAGCATTATGTAGCTAAATATGTGAAAACCAAGAATAATAAGGCAGAAAATATAAAAGAAAACCAGTGATGTGAAATAAATTAGAAACAAAATGAGCAAAGTGAAAAAATATTTAAACCAAAAGTTTATCTGAAAAAATCAAAGTGTCCAAGAGGTCAGTCAAGCATGTACACAGAGTCAGGTGGTACTGAATCCAGCAGCAAAATATAAGGCAGGCCAGCCTAACAACAAGATGATATAGTGGATAGGCTGACTCACGTTCATTTTCCCTCAGAGAATAGAGATATACTTGAGAGCATTTTTTCTGGCAAGTTGTAACTTTCAAGGTGAAGATGTAATCATTATACTCTGGAACTCTGTGGAAAGTGGGCAGAGGAGACAGGTAAATAAACCTGACTGGCAAAAATTTCCATGGTCCACACAGCACATCCTATGCCCACTATCCTATTCTACCTGTATCATTTAAGGTACCTGAAGATAAACATCTGCAACCTGTAAGAAAGTAAGAAACAAACCTGGAAATAATAAGAAAAAGCAAGGAGAGTTATTTCCACTGTCTGGGGTATTTGTCAGATAAGATAGGATATTATCTCACTTCATTTCTGGAAAGTCTGAATCCAATTACGTTTTCATTAAAAAAAAACCTCACTGTAGACAGTAATAACAAATATTTTTCGCTTTGTCCTCTTTTTGCCAAACACTCATTTGTTAACCCTTTGTCGTCTAGTTCCCAGTAAAACATTTCTTTGAAAGGTCACTAATAATCTGCCAAAGATCATGTTCAATAGGCATGTCTTCATCCTCAAATTTTTTACCTGTCTCTATCAGTTGACATTATTGATCACCTTTTTCTTTTTTTTTTTCTTTGAGACAGAGTCTCACTCTGTTGCCCTGGCTAGAGTGAGTGCCGTGGCGTCGGCCTAGCTCACAACAACCTCAGACTCCTGGGCTCAAGCAATCCTACTGCCTCAGCCTCCCGAGTAGCTGGGACTACAGGCATGCGCCACCATGCCCAGCTAATTTTTTCTATATATTTTTAGTTGTCCAATTAATTTCTTTCTCTTGCTCAGGCTGGTCTCGAACTCCTGAGCTCAAACAATCCGCCCGCCTCGGCCTCCCAGAGTGGTAGGATTACAGGCATGAGCCACCGCGCCCAGCCTCGCCTTTTTCTTTTAGAAAATTTTATAAGCTGGGGTTCCATAACATTGTACTATCTTAATCTTCCTCTTGCCTCTTTGAGCCTTCTTTTCTGGCTCCTTTGATTTCTTCCCTTACTAATATATTTTCCATAGGCAATTAATTACAAAGTATTATAACAAAGTCTAAAGTGATTTGGTCAAGGAACAAGTCAAGGCATCTTTCTGAACAAGTCAAGGAACTTAAGAAGCTTTAATCAAATGCAATGTATAACTTTCCTCCCCTTTTGCTATAATTGTATAGGGGTTTTTGGTTTCACTTTTTGTTTAACCACTCACACAGGAACAAGAAATCATTTTCAATAAGTAATGAAATTAACTATCTAGACATATTTTATTAGTTTCTGTGATTATTATTTTTTTTCCTGTGCCATACCTTCCTTTGGGGTTTACTATGGTAATATTCTGGTGAGAGTCTGTAGGTGGTAAACTCCTGTCAGTCTTCATATGTCTGAAAAATATCTTTATTTCGCCCTCATTTTTGAGGGACACACATCTAGGTGTATTATATACTTCGAGGTTAGCTTACATTTTTTCTTGCATCTGGACTATATTATCCATCCTCTTCTGACACTTGCACTTGTTTTTGTTTTGTTTTTTTTTTTAGATGTTTGGAATTGCCCATCATACGCTGGATCATGTCAGACACTTCAACTCATAAAGTCGGACAGCCCATCAGAAATCCATCAGCAGAGGAGGCACAGGACTGTGGGATTAGCAGTGAGGGTCCAGTGGACTCACGTGGCCCCTGCTTACCTGCATCGCCTCCACCTGGCTAAAAAAAAAAAAAAGAAAGAAATCCATTGGCAGATAATAATGGTACTTCTGGGACACCAAGCATGAGCAGGTCCACAGGGCATAAGCAAGCTTCATGAGCAGGGAGCCCAGACTCCAGTGCCACCCACCAAGATTGCAACAAAACACCTTGCTCAGCTCACACCAATGGTAATATGTGGGATACTCTGATCAGCTGAAGGAGGAGGAAAAAGCGTGAGGTTTTATGAATAGGTTATAGATAAGTTGGCTTGATATGCCAGTCAAAAATGGAACGCAGCTGCATGATTACGTCGCTCAGGATGTCCTTGAATGACAGTGGAGAGGGAAAATTTCCCCAAAGGGTGAAGCTTTGAGCAGAGCACCTAGAGATCCACTCTGTGTGTAGCTCTATACATTCCTTAAGGCTGAAGGTACACAAGTCAGCTTTGAATTCTCCTTCTCATCTATCCTTATCAGTGAATAGTTTTAAGATAACACGAAACTTATTCAAGCTATTATGTAAAAAAAATGGAAGGGGAATTTTATAATAATGATACAGGACTATTTTATAGAACTCCAGGGTAGGAATGAGATCAGGCCTAAGGAAAATTCTACAAACAGAAATTGGAATTTTATCTGGACTCTTTCTCCATCTCGTCTCTATTCCTCTCTGAATGTATGATTTTCTCTTTCTCTCTCTGCTCTATACACTGACTTTTTCTGCCTCTCCAGTAGAAATGGTATGTGGAAAATGGAAAATGGTCAATCTACATCTCCCAAGGTTTTATATATATGTATGAATGTATGTCATTGTCTAGACATTTTAGAGACTAAATTTTTGATATCTGACGTAAATATAGATTCTCATGTCAAAAATTCTAACTGGCTCAACTTGAATCAAGTGCCTATTCCTGATTCAATCAACTTGGTAGGGTACAGTCACCTTATTCAGAATGGTATCTAGGGGCTCAGCCTTAATTCCGAGGGAAAACTGGTCAGTATGAGCTGAACAAATAGATATACTCTATCATCCTCATTCATTCTCCCAGTTATTCAGGCTGAAAACCTCATATGAGTCAGCTTAGGTTTATTCTTCTCTTTTATTTACCATATAGTTCTATCACAAATAACTAATTCATTTTTCTTTCAAAATTAGTGTTTTATCCATTTCTTCTTTCTCACTAACTTTATTACTTGCTAAAAGGATAGTTCAAAAAAGGGATGTTCTATTGTAGTTAAATTTGCATTATTTTAACTACTAGTGATGAGAAACTTTTTTTTTCCATGTTATAGGCTATTAGTATTTCTGCTTTATTGGTCTATATTATGGACTGAATTGTGTCCCCTCAAAATTCATATGTTGAACTGCTAACCCTAATGTGACTATATTTGAAGACAGGGCTTTAAAGAGGTAATTGAGGTTAAATTAGTTATAAGGGAGGGGCTTTAGGAAGAGACACCAGTTTGCACAAAGGCAAGGCCATGTGAGGACATAACAGGAAGGCAGCTGTTTGTAAACCAAGGAGAGAGGCCTTGGGAGAAACCAAAGCTGCTGACACGTTGATCTTGGATTTCTAGCCCCCAGAACTGTGAGAAAATAAATTTGTGTTGTTTAAGCTTCCAAGTCTGTGGTATTTTGTTATGGTAGCCCTAGCAACACAACACAGTTTGTCTCTGTGTTATCTTTGAAGAGCGGGAAGTTGCGGGTTGTGTTATAAAGAGGTTCTCTCAAGATCTAAATTGTACAGGCTTAGCAATGTCCACGTTGAATGTGCTTTGATACCACTTCAATCTCTCCTGTCCATGTTCAAGGCCAGAACCATTCCAGAGATTATGGGAAAAACTGGAGGGACTTGAAAATCATGCCAAAGCTTTAGCTATTACTACGAATAACTATCCATTTTTTCTCTGCTTTTTATACGCGAAGCACTCCAACATACAATGAGCACCTTATAACCACATGGCAAGGGGGAAAAATACTATCACTATCGCTTTAGAAAAGATGAAACTGAGACACAAGGAATCATAAACTCCCCAAGATCACATGGGCAAAAAGTTCATCCCAACGGAAACCTGCTGCGAACCACAAACATTTAGCTGAACTAAACCGTAACGCCGTGGGAGCCTCAAAAAGCCGAGCCCTGAGCGGGGACTGTAAAGTCTGAGAAGACAAGGCTGGGTGCACAGGCCCGGGACACCGAAATGCACAAAAGCCCACTGGGCTTCGCCTCCCCCCTCTCGAACTACTTTCACCTGAGCGACGAAGGCGCGGGATGGACGCCTTGCGTGGAAGTGCGGAGGTCACTGAGAAGGGGGCCACAGAAAAAGCCCGCTAAGATTTTTGACCCATAAGGTAAACACGTCAAAAACTTTAACGCGCTCAGCCGGCGTGTGGTAAAAGAGTTGCGGCAAAATCTCCCATGATACAAGTCGCAGTTCGCGCCCTCAGAAGCTCCGGGGCCTCCAAACGCATCCCAGCATCCTTTGCGCCGCTCACAGACAAGCCCTGGCGCGCTTTGGCCCCTTCGGCCACCGTCGGCCTGGAGTTACTATGGAAACCCAGCTGCCATAGCTATGTCTCTGCAACAGACCCCTCCGTCGCGGGTGTTCGTGGAACTGGTTCCCTGGGCTGACCGGGGCCGGGAGAACAATCTGGTTTCGGGCACAGAGACACTACCTGGTCTCCGTCGCCATCTGTCCTCAGCACAGACCCAAACTGCAACCCGCGAGGTACACGTAAGCGGCACCGCAGAGTTGTCTGCTGGCCCGAACAGGGCGCAGGTGACAGTGCGAGTGAGCAGCACTAAGGAGGCAGCGGCAGAAGCCAAAAAGAGCGTTTGCCGCCGTCTAGACTACATCACGCAGAGCCTCCAGCAGCAAGGTCTGCAGGTAAGAGTTCTGCGGGAGAGGAACTATAAACCACAAGGCACAGAAAGGTCAGCAGATGGTCTGGCCCGTAAGAGCCCCTTGAGGGGAGGTGGAGGTGTGGAGGGTCTTGAGCGTTTAGGACGGCTTTGTCGCATCGGTATTCCAGGACTAGAGGACCTGGCAAAGTGAATCTTTGACCTATCCTTCTCCTAGATGAAAGCATTATTGGCTGCAGTGAACTTGAAAAATAAAAGAATGCAAATTAGGTAGGTTATCTGGCGGTATTTTCTGGAATGATTTTGTTTTTCAACTTGAAATGATGAAATGTTAAACTTGAAATGTTAGATGTAAATGCTTGCCCAAGTCAGTACTGGACACTAAGTATTTTTTGTCTTGCTTTTATTCTGCACCGTGGAACTGGTAAGTGAAGAGCACGACTTGCTTCCTCCCAACCATGTAAAGCTTTGCATGGAATGGTTCGTCAGTATTTTACACAAACAGTAACTTTGGGGAGTGGGGAAGAGGTTGCATCCATTTTCATTTTATAAGGATTCGCATAAAATGTTTCCAGCTTTATTTAGTTTTAACTTCAAAAATAAAAAAACTAACCCAGTATTGTCAATATGACATATATGAAATACTTCTACTTACTTACCAGAGATGTCCGTAAGATAAATCACTAAACAAATCTTACTTTAAGCCTACTTATAAGGAAAGGGAGAAAAATGAACCAGCCTTATTTAATGTGCACAATAGCCCTGTTAGACATGTTTTAATATCCCCATTGTCTGGATTTGAAGAGGCTAAATGATGCTCCGAACTTTAGCCAGGGCAGTATCTAAACTCATGTATTACTGAAACCAAAATCTAGGTTGTTTCCAACTATACCAGGCTCCAGATAATTAGAATGAAAGAAAATTAGAAACCATAGAAGTCAACTGTCTGAATTTCCTCATTTTACAGAAAAAGACCCTAAAAACTGGAGTTATGATTTATCCAGGGTAATATTAAGTTGTTAAAAGTGCAGTCTTGCTTCCCAGTCTATTGAAATGCCATACTCCCAAAGAGCAAGTCTTTATTTTAGTAAGAAAATATATTTACATTGCACTTACAAACATAAGAGTTATTAAAAAGTCATTTGGAAAAAGATTTTACAATTTAGAAAAATTCAAATGCTAATTATAAATAACAAAAGTGCATTTAATATGTAGAAAAATATTTCCTTAAAAAACTGCTGCCAGTTCTGCAGTCCTATTTGAATAATGTAACAAATTAAGTCATTTACATTAAATGTAAAGTGAGCTCACATGGCTCTAACTTCTGATATATAAAACAAAATAAATTACAAAGTCTAACCTACAGTGATTAAATCAAGAGTCAGTGTTCAAGGCAAAACACAGAAAGAACAATACCCTCCCAATTATCTGTGCTAGTGGAGGAAAGCAGTGATAAAAAAGATAATTTGTTCAGCGGATAATACAAAATATTATTTATATTACTTTTCAGGATGAATTATGTGACTTTCTTCCCTTCTCTGTCTTGCTTCCCACTCCCCTGCTTTGTGTTTTTCGAGATCACCTTCAAAATTAACTGTATACAAATCCTTGTCTTAGGATCTGTTTCTAGGGGTCTTTACAGACCCCTTATTCATTTTAAACTTTGGAATCTTGGGTTGGGAGGTTTATAAACATCACTCCCCTGCTTAAAGGGCTCTTCATAATCCAAACTCCTTTGCTTAATAGATGGAGCCTCTAACTCTCTACCCTCATTTCCTATCATCTCTCTTCCCTCTCTGCTAGCTGACTTCTGTTGGTTTTTCCTTTAAGAATCAGCCCAAGCTCACCTTCTTGGCATTTTGTTCCTAACATAATACTAATCTCTGCCATACAACACTCCACTCCACACTTGCAGTAAAACTTATCACCCTGTATTATAATTCTTGATTTCTTTATCTCTCCTCCATATTGTAAACCTCTCCAGAGCAGAGACCATTTGTCTTCTTTTGCATTCATGGGTTATGTTTCATACACATTACATACATAATGTCTACTCAGAAAGTGCCTTTTAAAAGAATAATAGAAAAAAATGAATAAACTATTAGTTCAGCTATATTATAGATCATATATTTATGAGCTTGTATGAAAGTAACCCTTACTTTAATGTTGTTTTCATATAAGAAATATTTTAAAGTTCTAAGTAGTATATATTCATTCAACCAACAAATGTTAAGCATTCCCTATCACTGTTCATTTCTAAATAGCACTTACCATAATATTATCTTAGTTCATTTGGGCTGCTATATTGAAATACTATAGAGTAGGTAGCCTCCAAACAACAGAAATTTATTTCTCATAATCCTGGAGGCTGGGCAGTCCAAAATCAAAGTGCTAGCAGATTTGGTGTCTGGTGAATACTAGCAAGAATTACCCTGACATCCCTGCTTTCCCTTTATTTTCTCTTCTCTCCTATTATAGGCATAAAATGACCTCACAATGTCTGATCCTCCCTTCCACAAAATTGCTTCCATCACGCAGGATGTATGTCTAAGTTCTAGCGCAAAAGAGGACTATGAGTGAATGCTGAAAGGACAGTTTTGTGAACTCTTTTAACATATTGTGTTAGGAACATTATTGTAGGATTCCACTAACAGAGTGAAACCAAAAGAGAGACCCTTTCTCTACTTTTTGCTTCATAACAGACCACCTCAACCACCATGACACCACCATCAGGAAATACTGTGTCCACAGGAGCAGCAGAAGAGAACTTTCTATATATAATGATGAAATATCAAGACGTATGGTTCTTGCAGTGGACTAAATGTGTCCCCCAAAAATTCATATGTTGAAACCTAACTTCTCAGTGTGATGGTATTTGGAGGTGGGACCTTTGGGAAGTGATTAGATCATGAGGGTGGGGCTGTTTTATAAATGAGAACTCTCAGGACCAGAGTGATTATTGGCTGATAGCTTGCCCATGGTCATACAGCTGGGAAGTGGCAAAATGTAGACTCTGACCAAGAAATTTGACCTCAAAGCCCATGCTCTTGACCGCTACAGGATGTTGGTGCTTTATTCTCTTGGCAGTGGGTGATTGAGGTTTTAGGTAGCAGATGCTATTGATACCCTCCACTTATATCTCTTGGCACTTCACATTTGTGTGCATGCAGTCCCAACTTCCATCTGCCAACATTTGTGAATTCTTTGGCTGAAAGTGAAAGTTTTCCCTGGCTGCGGGAATCCACTCTGCCTACAAGTGGGGCCATCCAGTAGTGCCAGGGAACTAATATCCCGTTCCCCAACCCTATCAACCTTTAACTGAAGGCCCATGTGGAACTGGAATGACTGAGGGAAGTGAATGGAAAGAGATCCCCTCTTTCTCACCCCTTGGGTAGAATAATTCTGAGGCACGTGTTTTACTCTGGTTCTCAGAGTTTCTCTGCAGGATTAAATTTGAGTTACCCACAGTGGTAATTTGCTTGACAACACACCCTTTAGTGACTTTCTTCCCTTGTCTGTCTTGCTTCCGACTCCCCTCCTTTTGTTTTTTGAGATCACCTTCAAAATTAACTGTATACAAATCCTTGTCCTAGGATCTGTTTCTAGGGGTACCCAGATTTAGATGGGAAGTAGTAGGAACAGATTGAACATATGCTTAGCTACAGTTTTTCATTATTAAAAATGGTAACAATGGCCAGGCGTGGTGGTTCGCGCTTGTAATCCTAGCACTCTGGGAGACTGAGGTGGGAGGATTGCTCAAAGTCAGGAGTTTGAGACCAGCCTGAGTAAGAGTGAGACCCCGTCTCTACTAAAAATAGAAAGAAATTAGCTGGACAACTAAAAATATATAGAAAAAATTAGCTGTGCATGGTGGCACATTCCTGTAGTCCCAGCTACTCGGGAGGCTAAGTCAGAAGGATTGCTTGAGCCCAAGAGTTTGAGGTTGCTGTGAGCTAGCCTGACGCCACAGCACTCTAGCCCAGGCAACAGAGCAAGACTCTGTCTAAAAAAAAAAAAAAAAAAAGTGACAAGATGAATGTCATTGTAGTTATATGTTTATGCATCTCCTTAATTACAGGGTGAGTATCCCTGATCCAAAATGCTTGGGACCAAGACTGTTTCAGATTTTGGATTTTGGGGGGTTTTGGAATATTTCCATATATGCTTACCGATCGAATATTCCTAATCCAGAAATCCAAAATTTGAAATGTTCCAGTTAGCATTTACTTTAAGCATCGTGTCAGGGCTCAAAAAGTTTCAGATCTTGGAGCATTTCAGGTTTTCACATTAGGGAGATACTGATCTGGTAATGTTTGGACATTAATTCCTGGGTTATGCATCTTTGAAGGCTTATGAAAAATTATACTCTAGGAAGATAAGTTTATACTTTTACCATGTGGCAGAGTAGGCATTATTTTTTTCTTTAATTTTGCCAGTGCAGTAGTTCAAAAAATGATACTGTTATTTCTTTTTTTGAACATTTGAAGTTAAACTTTTTTGTGTAAATTTCCAGTTCATAATACTTTGCCCATTTTTCTATCATCTTTATTAATTTGTAATAGCAATCTTTTAGGTCTTCTTTATCTCCTCCTAAGATTCCTCATCTCAAGACCATCAGGCCCCAACGATCATCATGGAAATCCTTGGTTTAGCTTAGTTGCACAAAAGGTAGCATGTTCAGTGGTTAGAGGTGGCCTGGGAAGAAAGGGGGTCAGGCCAGGCCCTTGGGGATTCCCTGATCTCCACTGGGCCACCCACTTAAAAATTAAGATGATCAATAACTTGTCATATATTGCAAAAAAAGTTTCCCAGTTTTTTATTTTGTCATATAACTTAAAGTATTATATACTCAAAATTTTAAAGTTTTATATAAATAAATTTTTTAATTTTTTCTGCATGTTTTCTGCCTATTATGTGATGCTTATTGGGTCCTTCCAAAGCCTAAGGCTATATAGCTATTAACTAACATTTCCTAGAATCTTTAGGAACTGTTGATAGTGTATTAAATATTTACACTGTGCTTGG